AGGCGATGACTCCGTATAGGAATTATTACTTTACTGCAAAAGAAATTCGGAATCGGTTAAACTTTTGTTATCGAACGTTGACCGGATTAAGAAAGACCATGCCTAACCGAATAAAAAGGGCAGAGCCAAGTCAGTCGCGAGATGAATCTAATCTAAAGTTGGGTTCGGCTTAGGATCAATTTTTTCAGTTTTAGGAGCTGAAATGTGAAACTCAATAAAAACCGAATATCACTCGTTTCTTGTTTATCAGAATCAATTTGGATTCGAATTTTGTGCAAAATGTCTAGAAATTGTAACTTAACAAAAAAAGAGAATTTAGGTTGAAAATAGTTTGGTTCGGATTTGTTACGACAACGGTTAGTTCAGTAAGAAAAAGTGAAACCAAGTCCATGCTTTCCTTCGGTTAAGTTTACAGCTATGTGGTTACCGTTTAGTTCATTTTAGCTAAAATAGTCTTCCTAAATACGTGTTTAGAGTTTTAAAACGCGATTTTGGTATCGTAGATATGTAGAAACTCTTACAATAAACTTCTTGAAAAAATTGATGACATATTCCGAGTCGGTTTTAGTTTGCGTATATGCAACCATCTTATTCATTTCCTGCGCATGATACATTGAGGTTAATCAAGAAGCTTAATCACATAGTAGCCTTAATTCGCGTACGTATTGTATGTACCGCAATCCAAGCAGCTAGTTTTGGACGTCCAACAACAATATCGTACTTGAAAACTTCGCCAAGGAAGACTTGAAATCTTTGAATGAACGTGATATATGCTACATCAACCTAAAAAATAAAAAAGTTTCCTCAACTTTGAAACTAAAGGTTCACATTTTGCATCTATTAAGAAATTGGGTTTATTTACCAAGCTAAGCTCGCCGAGGAAGAATGGACCATCATCAAACTTTTGTAAAGCATTTTCCACGTGATCGAAGACTGATTCTGCATCACAAACACACATTTTTCAGCTGCTAATTAGTTGGGTTGCAATAAGAGTTTTACTTTTTCAAACGCAATATATGTGTTTGTGTTTACCTAACAAAACAAAATGATAATCATATATTTTTGCAATAGGAAACATTTTTTATAGTATTTTTGAAAAATGCAAACGCTGAACTTGCATTTGGTATGGAAATGAATCTTACCCGTATCTTTAGCCGGATCACCTTTGAAAGAGCCAAACACGCTTTTAATGAATGTTGTATCAACATATTTTAACATTTCTTCACCAAAGTCTCTTCTTGCAGGGTCCTAGCAAAAGAAGGGATTTCATAATGATGGATTATTACATAACACAACACTAATAACAGGCTCTACAACATCAAATATGTACGTGAAGGAATTCTGAACACGGTCTTACCTCGGGGTAAAGTGAAGGACCGTCAAAATTGTTGTCGACATATTTGATTAAGCCTATACTTTCCCCAATGATCTTGCCATTGTGCTCAAGTGCAGGAACCTACTTTGTTCTTACAATATTAATCTCTTTTATTTGTTGCTTATGAAGGAATTTTAATCGCTTATAAGGATTCATATATAGATCTTTTAAAAATGAATATGCGATTAAATGACCTCTGAGGACATTCAGTTACGTGGATAGTTACGTTCAATGTGCTCATATCAGCGCATGACTTTGAGATGTGGATCTCTTGGGTAACTATTATGTATAAGAAAATAAAGGTTATACCTTGTTTGCAGGATTTACTTTCTCTTTGAACCAAGCTGGCCTATTAGAAAGGTCTATAGGAACCAATTTGATCTTCTCTTGCAGACCCTAAAACTCCAAAATAAAATTAGACCAATCTTGCTTACAAAATTTTCAATTTTTCATCTCAACCATTTACAACAACAACAAAAAAAAAAAACGCAACATAACAGAGAAAACTTTATCATATTGTGAAATGAAATGGCATCATCTAGGTTTGTAAAGCCATGATACACGAATTAAATCTCGAAATTTGCGAATTGTTAGAAAGAAACTCAGATTAATCTTGAGTGAGATTGATCCACTCTAAACAACATTTTAGACTATAACCAATGGTTTGAACAAAAATACTAGTACTTAAGTTCCCACTTTGTGTGAGTAATAAAAATGAGTTGATATGTATAAAATTAAACACTCTAGAAAACATATATACCTTGAGATTTCTGGTAATCCAGACACGTTGTGCAAATGGGCAGGTGTAGCTTATGTACAACCTTTTTTTTGTTTAAAGTTTAATAAACAAAAGACAATTCAAGCCATTATAAGCTCATTAACAAAATTTTTTTTTTGCAGCTTAAAATAATTATATTAAATAAATAAATAAAAAACCTTGTGGTTCCGTCGAACAAAGTAGGTGGATCGGAGGTAGCATCAAGAGGCACTTGACGATCTTCTACCAAACTTTTGTCGATAGAGAAACAAAATCAAAAGGAGATAAATTTAGAATTAACATGAGCATCGAATTAACATGAGATAAAGTTAGATAAAGTAACAAAGCTAAACGACCAAACAAAGTTATTAATGAAGGATCATACAGAGGAGATAAAGCCATGGAGAGGATCGATAAGAGTTGTTTCTTCAGAGGATTGTTTCAGAGATATCTTTTACAGGAAGTACGATCAAACACATATATAAAGCGACGTACATATTATATATATATATATATATATATGCTTATTGGGAATCGGAAGAGCATGGCTCATGCTTATTGCGATCAACAGTGACATTCTTTAAAAAACAAAAAGGTCAAACGTCAGCGTTTGATGATCTCTGTCGTTGACTTTTCCAGTTTCTTGTGAATGTCAGAGTAGGTCTATTGGTGTACCCCTTTTAAAGAGGTTTATCAGATATTAATTTTTTTTTCTTTTTTTTTTAATTCGAAAATTAAAAAAAAATGTTGTCCAATGATATCTTGCTACCTAGACGAACGGGTTTTTAGAGTTGTCCTGATGAACCGATCCTTTCCATATAAACATTATTTCTTTTTTTAATCAAAACTGCCTATGAACTCGAGCCAAACTCTTTCTCCAACCTCCCAATGGACATGCTCTCACAGTTTTGAACAAATCCTTTAGTTAATTTGTTTGGAGTATTAATGATTAGCTACACGCATTATAAATTTAGTCTGAACAAAATATTATTAAGTTCAAATTTTCGTTTTGAATTCTGCTATTTTGATGTGATGATATTTCTCTATAGCAAAGGAAAACAAGTGCATATATAACAAAAATGGTAAAATGACTTAATAATAAATTCCCTTTTTTCAGTTGTTTGAGATGAAAAAGATATTGTCATAGTTGAACATGAATAAAATAAGGACTAAGGTGGTGGTCGACGTTATCCACGCCTTTCTACGCTACATCACCAAATCATCTATGCTCAATTCGTATACATTACATACTTAAGATTGGCTTAATAGATGATAAAATCAATTTATTGCGGATATATTCCATATCAGTTGTAGCATACTTCCATGCCTTCTGCCTTTGGTTACTAATATTTGTTCTTTCCTTCTGAGAATATAATAAGAATTTTATGTATTTATTCGAGAAATTATCAAGACTATCTGTATGACATCTACGTTTTTTTTGTCTTCTCTAGATTGTAAATATTCAGTAAAAATAAAAAATTTAGGTGTTACAAATTGATCGACTTAAAAGCTTGTTTCCATGGCAAAAAAAAAGGATAAAAAACATGGAAGCAAAACATAATGATTGCTAGCTCACTTCACGGGGCGAACCGGGAAAAGAAAGAAGAAATCATGGTTTGGGCGATCGGACCGGCCAATGCAAATCATTATTGTAAACCAAATCAAAAAGGTGTCGAAGAGACGTACAAATACATAGTACATACTTGAAAAGGTCGTAGGTTCATTCATAACTTTCTCAACAGTTGGTCACATAAACTTACGTTAAGAAGAAAATATTTAGTAGCTTTCTTGTGATTAGGTTTGAATTCAGTCTATGCACTTTTCTTATTCGTAGATTCCGTAGACTCTTTTGTTCCATCTTCAAAGAATTTCATTTAAAACCCAAAATTATGACGAGTTGAGATAGAAATTTCTCCACCTCGAACCTACTATGTCTTTTGGTCAAGAAAAGAGAAGGGTGGTTTAGAGAACTGCCCAAAAAATAGCCAGTGATATTAATAACTTTGCTTGATCAAATGAGCATGGATTCTATTTCTACGCACTAAACAGTTTTTAAAGTTCTAATCAATTAATTTATGTCCTAATAATGACGTACAAATAAAAGTTTTTAAGGTTTTAAGAGCATCTGCAATGGTTGTCTCTATATTTTACTTTAAAAATAGAGTTCTCTATAAATAGAGAAGGGGTTTACTGCAATGGTTGCCTCTATATTTAACTGTAAATTTTATTATTAATTGCTTACAAGTCCTTTTACTTTTAAATGTATTAAAAAACTCCTACTTATTAAAAAAAATTATTTATTATATTTAGTTGTTTTATTTTTAAACTTTTAAATGATTATATAACTAATTATTATTAATATTGTTTAATTAAGTATAATATTAGGTGGTATCTTATTGTTTAAATGTCAAATAAAAAGATATGAAAGTTTAAGGATTGTTTTGTAAATAAAAAAATTCTACTCTATAAATAGAGAAATGAACAGTATTCTTTAAATATAGAGATACTGTTCATTTCTCTATTTATAGAGTAAGATATAGAGTACCAATGCAGATGATTTTACTCTAAAAATAGAGTTTATAGGCAGAAATAGAGTACCATTGCAGATGCTCTAATCAATTACTGTGATGAACTCGTTGCAACAAGTTAAAAAATAATTATATAATATTCCAAAGATCATAAACAATAACCATATATTAGTCTAGAAGTACTTTAATCTCACATAAGTTCAAATCTGAGGGAAAAACCATAAACAAATAGAGTTCAACTCTAGAAAATATCATAACAAAAAGCATAACTTGATTATGTTTTAAACACATCAAAAGAGCTATTAATTATAGTTTGGCATGCTTTAGGCACAACCTGAACTTAACCTTTGACAAATTCGATGAGATTTTTCTTTGGAGATATGCTTCTTATATTGGCGATCCTTTCATAATCGGGTTCCAAAAGTGCGGTCTTTGGGCTTTTAGGCTCGATCAACATCAACTTCTCTAGAGATTTTGCGTTTCTAACAAAGAACTCCATTATATCAAGCTCATGCCAGTTGTTTTTATAGCCTATGATCTCGACATACTCGATAGTGTTTAACGGGTAGTTGCCATTCTGAATCTTTGGCTTCTGATGGTGTGTCCAAAACATATCAGGTTCAAATGTGAAACCATTTATCTGCACAAAACAAACCAAATTTCTAACGACTTTGCCTATTGGTAGAAGAGAAGCATTGTTTGCGTAGAGAGAGTGAAAGACTTACATCGATCGAAACCCTTTTCAGGTTAGGGCACTGTGTGAGGAACTCAGCGATGTCAAAAAGATTGCAAATTGATGGAGACTTAAGACAAATCTGAAACTCTTGTAGGTTACGAAAGCAGAGAGTCGGTCTTCTCATTTCTCCGACACTGTATCTATACGAGAAAGCCTATATGTATATACATGTGAGAGGAAACATCAAAACGCACTCTAAACAAAGAGTGAAAAAATATGAACAATAGAAAAAAACCATGTGAAAGTTGCATAGTTTAGATATGATGAACATTTTGCCATGACGATAATAAAAAGAGTCTGTACAAATGATACTCTAATAATTAAGATCCAAATACTTTGTTAGTGTTGCATAAAAGAAAAAGTACCTAAAATTTTAAAGAATAAGATACTATCTTTTGTGAATATTTATAGTATTCTTCAAATTTATATGACAATAATTATGTGCTATAACATATAATATTTCATTTAGCTCTAGCTAAACTTTCTATTTATGCACAGAAACCTAATGTTCTATTTTTGCTTGGAAGAGTATTTTCTTGATGTTGAGATTTTAGCGAATTAAACTAGAAAAAAAAATTAAAAGCTTAGAGCACAAAATGTATTAAGGAAAATTTATTAAGGTAAACATATTGAAATTAAAGTCCAATGATCTTCAAAGGCAAAAACATTTTTTTTCCGGCAAGTAGGCTTATATCTTGGGCAATATCACATAGACTATACAAAGGAGGATTAAACTATGATCTTTCCAATTGTTTTTTTTGGTTAAAAATTAACATTAATACCTAAAACGATTTTAAAATCTAAACTGGTGGTCTTGAGTTTACATATACAATATCATAAGGGTGGACATGAGCACTACGTGCTTACTTATCCACCTTTGTGTTTTTTTTTCGTGTGGGATGAAAAAGATAGTGAAAGATGAAAATTTCTCTTTACTCTTTACGAATTCCTTCAAATATAATGAGCAAGCATGTCATTCCTTTAGTTTAGACACCATTTTCACCAATTGATTACAGTTTGTTGTGAATTCTATCAATGTCTTTCTTATTTGCGTTCATACAATTAATGGACCATATGAATGCTTTTAATTCAACGTGTACAGGGCAGAGGTTTCCTCGTAGATTCCTTGCACCCGTCGGAGATTCTTTGACGCCTTCTTGGACAGCAATACCAGCCAAGTTCTGAGATATTACCGGTCTCATTCTATGAGCCATCTACATAGCACGGAAACCCTTCATAATCCGCAATTAACGGAATATGATGATCAATATTTGAGTAGCATGTGTTTGTTGCTAGATTGTGCTTAACTTTCATATTGTTGCCTATTTTTTTTTGCAATCTTGAAGATTTCTTGTGGATCTCTACCCACATTTGAGAATATCTTATCATTTTGATCTGACCAAATTTACCAAATAATCCAAAAGATCTTCTATTTTTATTTTTTGGTCAAACTTTAAACTTCATTAAAACAAATCAAGAGGTTCAAGGAATCTCGAAAGAGCTTCTTTAGCAATCGAGTCAGCCTTGGCATTAGCAAACATAATCGAAAGAATTCAAAGAAAAAGGTGATGCCAATTGGCGAATATCATCGACAATAGCATGAATCTCTATATGGGTATTTTGCGAGTTAAGAATAGAGACGAGGGACTGAGAGTCCGAAAGAACTTGGATTTCCTCATATTTTCTGTCGATCGCAATGATTAGAGATTCTCTCAAGGCCAAGCTTCAACGGCTAATGCTGAAGAGACATGCCGACGAGAGATTGAGAACTGGAGGTGTTGATTTTTTAAATTAAGGTGGAAGACCATACCCATTCCAAAAAGTCTTCTATTTTGATTATCTATTGGAATCGTCAAGAAAGATAATCAAAATTAGAAAAAAAATTCAATGACATAGTGAACCCTCTCAGAAGCGATTGCTTACTAAGAGCATCTCCAACAGAGACTTCATATCTTCAAATTTGAAGTTTTATGTACTCCAAGAGAAACTTCAAATCTTCAAATTTTGAAGATCTGAACAGTGACACTATGTATTTGAAGTTTTACTATTTAGATCTTCAAATTTGAAGATTCATCTTTTCTATTGCATTTTGGTTCTTATAATTAAATATTTTTATAAATAATGTTTTTATTTAGGTTTCTTTATCATTTTGATTTTATAATATATCTGATAATTATTTCATATATATTATTATAATTGTAATTTCAAATTAAAGAAAAAAACTTCTTTAATGGTAACAGTTGAAATGGCAATCAATGAGAATATCCGATTTCAACAATTTTTTTGCTCGTAATCTACAGATAAAAAATAAAGAAGCACATTTATCACTTCGAAAGATATTGATTAATTATATATGGGAGTATTACGGAAATAATGTTAGTGAATAATTTAGTATTCTATTTTGTTATCTTTGATTATGTTTGTGTGTTTTTTATAATATTAATGATGTTTAATTAATTAATATGATCTATAATTTTTTTAATGTATGTTTTATAGTTATTTATATTATTTAATTATGCTGAAAAGTAAGGATTATAATGCAAAACAGAACATTTTTGAACATTTATATTAGTGTCACTTTTGGAGAAAAACAGCTAAAACTGCAAATTTGAAGTTTCTGGATCTTCAAAAATAAAATCTTTCTTGGAGATGCCCTAAGAAATCACCCAAGTTAGGTAAGCCGGATGGCATTCAAAACGAGCATGATTGATTGTTTTCTATTTTGTACTAAATCATGCGTCATAGCTAATTCTTTATTTGGTGACGGAAGTGTATTTAGAATTATTAACTGTTGAAAAAAGATTGAAACTTTAGAGGAAATACCTCTTGTGAAATATCTTTGATATTAATTGAATGTAATGGCAAATAATTTTGTTTGTCATCACTTTGGGAGCAAGACGCTGCGACAAGCCCGTGCGACAAAAAAGCTATAGTTATAACTGATTTGTGACACAAGTATGTAAAGAGTAAAGCGCAGCGACTATCACAGTTGATCACAACGACCACTCCAACTGCCGCTACTTTTTCCAGCGACACTTGCGACAGTAATTTTCTTTGCAAAGTTAATCGCAGCGACATATGTGAAAGAGAGAGAAACACTTTTCTTTTTAATGCAAAAACAGACCCTCTGAAGCCCCTTTTCTGCGTCCACAGAAATCCTAAATTTTCGAGCCCCTTTACACCAGAAGGGAAGACAAGACATCAGTTATGAAGGTACGCCGGACAACAGAGCTAACAGCAACAAACAAGGAACTGAGATCTGCTCCATGTGAAATGAGGGGAGCAAAGACGAATATTGATCTACATATCTAGATTTGAATTTGAAAATAACCGCTTCTTGGTCGTCAAAATAGGATGATAGATCTACTAAGGAAAAGGAGGAAAGAGGCCATAATATTAAAGTATGAACTGTAAATGTGTAATTCCGCTTATCTTGTTGTACGAAACCGGAACCTTATCCTCATATATAAGAGGCACATTGTAACAGTTCTAAGATCAATAACAGAAAATAATTTCATCGTTCATATTCTCTAATACATAACTTAAATACACGATGCCGTCGCTGAAGGGTTTAGTTCCAGTATTATGTACACCCTTCGTTTTCAATAATAGATGTTTTTGACATCTAATAATAAAAAACTGAGGGAGTATAAAAAATTTTCTGGAAAATTGTTAATACCAATATGTTTTAAACTTAATCATTTATTAGGTTCCTCAATTTTCATTAACGTAAAATGTTATGTTGGTATAGAATTTTGTTTTTTTTGTTGTGATCTATATTCTTGAAGTGAATATCATATATATAGCTCATTTACATTTTTAGGAAATTGTAAGCTCTTATATCATACTAGCTAGTTTATAATAATTATTTTTAAAATCAATTGGGAAACGAAAAAAAGGGTGGCATAAAATATACAATAATGTCTAGTGTCTTAAAATGCGGTAACGCTAGCGAAAAATAGAGACGGAAAAAACACTCTACACATTAAAAAATAATGTGACACTTGCATGCTCTAATATGAACATTCCCTATTGGATCCTGTGACTCTTGTTGATATGATAACTAAATGCACTCGATCGATCTTCCTATGAATATACTAGATACTAGATAGCATGAAAAAGAAATATATCGAAAGTTTGTCGTAAGCAGATAATAACCATTTCTAACAATGGACACCAAAGTAATACATGTGAAAGTTGCATGCTCTAAGATAAACTCACTACTAAGCTATTCAAATAAAGACAAAAATAGAGTATTTTGTAAACTTATAAAAACTAAAAAAAAAGCAATAAGAAAATTACCTCGAGAAAGATGTTTGTTGTTGCAAGGACATGAACTCCTGTATAGGCTCCCATATTAGCAATCACCAGGGCAGATGGATTGTAACTATACCTCCAACGATAATGGAGTTTTGCCTCTTTAAGTGCATCCACTTTTGAAAAGTCAACCATTATGACATATCCATCATACTTGTAGCATTCGAGAGTAGGGGCATTCAAAATGACGTTCAAAAGATTCGGCATTGAATACACGACAAGAGACTTGAACTTTTTATGATTTTGAGCGTTGATGCTCAAAGTCCCATACATTCGGCATTTGATTAGTTCAAGCGACTCGAGGTGGAAGCAGTTGCTGAATATTGCATCTATCATCTCTTTTGTCATCTTGGTCTTCATTAACGAAAGTGTTCTCAATAACTTCAAACCCTTAGGAGAGTTATCCGGTATTTTGAATTTACACCATTTTAGCTCCAAGACTGTTAGGGTCTCGATGGCCGAGAAATCGATCGGAATTTCAATAACTTTCTTAGATTTGGAGAAATCTAAGCCAAGCTCTTGGACATTCTTATCCACACATGTTTTAATCCATGTGAGTATCTTATCCTCCACACCAATAGGATTGAGAGTAAGAATAAGTTGGTTGATTTGTGACCCTTTGTGCTTACCGAAAATGTCTTCAATGATGAGCATAACCTCTAATTGACTGCGTCTCATGGAATATATTTCGCTGAAATCAAGGTATCGAGATCGAATCTCTGCGTGCCTAAATCTTTTGGACACACCACGACTTTGTAAACCAGATTTGATGGGAAGAAATGTTGACATGATGTGCTCCACCAAATCATCTGACAGAACTTCTGGGAATCTCATTTTCTTTGATGATTCTGACATATTCACTATTTTCACCGGATAGACAATAGATTTTTCACAATATGTTTCTTCTCTAGTAATGAAGTTTATGAAGACTTTTTTTTATGGAAAATAAGGGACGTTTCTGGGTTATCTTTTGGTTGTTTGTATATTTGTTTAAAGAATGGATTCATTTGTGTAGTCACTTTTTTTGTTAACAATGAAGTCACACACTAAATTAGTCTCTTTGTACTTTTACGAAAATAAATTTGTTACTATTTGACAGCACACTTATATTTGTTAATTGTTTTTTTGTAAGCATTACATAAAATATATAAGAACAATTAAGATTATTTTCTAAAAATAGTCATATGAAAGTTGCACATTAAAATCATTTTGTCATTGTGAAGACAACTAAAAAGATGGTTAGATTTTATTACTTATCATATAAAATAACTATTTCTTTTATTTCTTTTATTGATTATTATAGACTATGTAACGTAATAATTATTACATTTAGACAAAATCAATGATTATTAAAAGGAAATTTTATTTTCCAAAAGCATTCTATATTAATGGACCTATATATTCAGTTTGCATTCCAGTTTTATTATATTATTTACTGTTCTTTACCAATAATTTTTTTTTTCTAAAAATATTAACTGTTTACGTTTCTTCAAAGATATTTCCCTTATTTTGTCATATAGAGTTGGGCTTGGGCATATTGCATAGAAACACTTGTCATTTTTGTTATTTAATAGATTTAACAATATCAAAAAGTTTTGTTTCGTTAATGATGGTCTTCTTCTATTTATAGGAAAGAACATATACATACAACTATGAAAAGATTAAAACAAAAAAATAAACCTGTTAAGATGTAAAAGAAACAAAACAAAAATAATTGCTAGTAGACTTCACAACGAACCGGGTAAAAAAAGAAGAAATCATGGTTTAGGCGCACGATCGGACCGGCCAATCCAATCATTTTTGTAAACCAAACCAAAAGGGTGTCGAAGAGGTACAATACATACTTGACAAGGTCGTAGGTTTATTCATATAAGTTTCTCAACTTGGTCACATAAACTTACGATAAAAATATACATATTTTAAGCTTTTCTTGGGATTAGGTTTGAGTTCGGCCTATGTACTTTTATTACTGGTTAGTTCCATAGACTCTTTTGTTCCATCTTCAAGGAATTTCATTTAAACCCAAAATTATGAGTTGAGCTAGAACCTCGAACCTCTATGTCTTTTGGCCAAGAAAAGAGAAAATTGGTTTAGAGAACTGCCCAAAAAAATAGCCAATGATATTGATAACTTTTCTTGATCAAATCAGCATGGATTATACGAATTAAAATGTTATGAAAGGTTGTAATCACTTGATTAATGTCCTTAAAATGACGCACAGATAGAAGATTCTTTTGGGAAATAAGTGGGAAAATTTACTCTGATGAACTCGTTGCAACAAGTTAAAAAAATAATAATATAAATATTCCCAAAATCATAAACAATAACCATATATTAGTATAGTAAGTACTTTGATCTCACATAAGTTCAAATCTGAGGGAAAAACCACAAACAAAACGAGTTCAAACCTAGAAAACATAAATTGATTATGTTTCAAAGACATCAAAAGAGCTATTAATTGTAGCTTGGCATGTTTGGACACAACCCTGAACAGTGGCGGAGCCACATAGATTAGGTTGAGGTCATATGCCTCCAGTGAATTATAAAAAATAGTGCAATCTATAAAGCAAATTATTAACGCCTCCATTCATAGAGTTATGTATGCTCCATTGATGCCTTCAGTGAAGAAAATTTGTGGCTCCGCCTGAACTTAACGTTTGATAAATTCAATGAGATTTTTCTTTGGAGACATGCTTATTATGTTGGCGATCCTTTCATAATCGGATTCGAAAAGTGGACGATCTTTGGGTTTCTAGGCTTCAATCAGCATCAACTTCTATAAAGATTTTGCGTTCCTAACAAAGTATTCCACTATATCAAGCTCATGACAATTTTTATAGCCCATGATCTCGAAATACTGGGGATAGTGTTCAACAGGTAGTTGCCATTCTGAATCGTAGGCTTCGGTTGAAGCATCGAAAACATATAAGGTTCAAATGTGAAACCATTTATCTGCACATAACAAACCAAATTTATAACAGACTTACCCCATTGGTAGAAGAGAAGTATTGTTTCCGTAGAAAGATTGAGAGACTTACATCGATCGAAACCGTTTTGAAATTAGGGCACTGTGTGATGAACTCAACCATATTAAAAAGAGTGCAAATTGTCTGGAGATTCAAAACAAATTTAAACTCTTGTTAGTTTTAAAATCAGAAAGTTGGTTTTCTCATTTCTCCGCCAGTGACGTGAAAGCCTATAGATACATGTGATACATGTGATAGGAAACATCGAAACTCACTCTAAACAAAGAGTGAAAAAACGTGAACAAAAGAAACAAAACATGTGAAAGTTGCATAGTCTATATATGATTAACAGAGAGAGGATCATTTAAAGAGTTTGTGCAAATGATACTCTAAAACTAAAATCCAACCACTTTAATAACGATGCATAAAACAAAAAGGTACCTAAACTTGTAAAGAATAAGATACCACGTTTTGTGAATTTTTATTTTTTTTGTTCTAATTCTGTTGTATTCACTTCTTGATGCCCCTGTAATGGGACATCCTTAACAAACTCATATCAAGTCCAGATTCAACTTATCTGATTTTTATAATTGGAAAACCATATTGTCTTATTGGTCTTGAGAATACAATAATGTTTGATTAACAAGTATAGAGACATAGGAAGTTACAGCCAGTTACACACGATAAACCAATACATAGTTAGTAGTAGAAGAAGTTCTGTCTAGGAGTTAAGTGGAGGAGGAGATAGTTGAATGAATTCGAACCATGTCATTAGGTAGGACACGTGATTGTTGACATCTGCTATTTTTGTGAAAATTTATATATAGTATTTTGATTTTTTCTTTCAAATTATTTGACAGTCAACAGTTATGTGTTATATAACGTATAACATTTTACTGCATATGGCTCTAAATAGCCTTTCTATATATCCGAGGAAACCTAATTTTCTATCTTTGGTTGGAAGAGTATTTTCTTGACAAAAAAAGTTATTAGAATAAAGACTTTGTGTAAGGTTGGGTTCGAATTGAATGATATGCACGGATACTATATTCTCATCCACATGCAGAAAGAGTTCTTGAATAGATGGATCGTTCTTTTTCTTACTTTTGAACGTGAATCATTTAGTTTATTTAGTCAGTCACAAAGGATTGACATAACCCAATTCTCTAGAAATGTATGGATCCCCAAAATGCACAAATTATAAGGGGTCATGCGATTAGTAAAATTTTAAGGAGAATAATCTAATATAAACATTATACAAATTAAATCAACAAGTGTATATAATTTAATCAAAATATTTTTTGTCTAAATTGAAGGACACAAATGCATCCTCATAAGACAATAAAATATTTGAAACTTTAACGAGGAAGATACCTCTTCTGAATAATTTTCATACGTTTATTTGGTATTTTTTTGGCATCTGAATATTATTGTTAGGGTAAAATATAACAATGAAAGACATGACGAACAATAGAAAAAGAAAAAAGCACAGAGAAAAAACTTAAAAACCTATTATATTATGGATAACATTCAGTATTTTTATGTAAGAATTGTTTGCATACTTTCGATTATAGCTTTTTTATCATATAGAGTTGGACACATCACAGAAAAACACATGTCATTTTTGTTACTCAATAAACTTTAATTAAAATAATTAAAACAAGTTAAGAGATACGCGTTAACATTTTACCAAGAAAGTGGACATGTGTTTCATAAAATAATTAAAACAAGTTAAGAGATACGCGTTAACATTTTACCAAGAAAGTGGACATGTGTTTCATAAATAGTGTCTCCAACCAAATTTATATCATAAGATATTGAAAATTTTTTATCAAAAAAAAAAGATAGTGAAATTTTTATAATTGCCAACATGCAAACATCATTGGTTATCATACATTATCTAAATTTGTTTTAATGCTGTTAAAAGAAAAAAAAAATTAGTATGGTGGTATAGTCGTACTTAATAAAAGGAAAACGATGATGATTAAAAAAATAAGGAAAAGGATAAAAGTTGACGCCAAAAAAGAAAAACTGAAAACGAAAAAAAAACACATCATTAAAAGAAACAAAAGTAAACAAAAAGAATTCCATTTTGGTCCAGAAAAAACAAAAATTCCTAGTTGACACGTCGGCAAACCAGATAAGAAAATGCAACCATGATTTTATCGATCAAACCGGTCAATCGATTTTGTCAATTAACCGGGCGTTGGAGAGACGCGAGGACAACTTGAATATAACGCCGAAAAATTCTCAAATCTAGCAAACCGGTTAAGGAAATAAATCATGTTGGTTCGATCGGTAGCATCGGCCAATCTAATTCGGTTTGCACGGCGTCGAAGAGACGCTACAGGCACTTGAAAATAACGCAACCAGTCCCGGCCAGTTTCCATATATATACTCAGTCTCCTTTCACCTTTTTGCATTTTTTACGTGAAAACATCAAAGCCATCTTTGAGGCTGCGACGGTGCTGATTCTCTCTCCGGCGAAATTTCTCTCCCCGGCCAGATTCCTTATCGTAGTATTCAGGTTCCATTCACTAATTAGTCCTTTGATTCGACAAAGATTTTCATCAGTTTCTGCGGTTACTCGCCTGAACCTTAATTTTTCCGATATTGGATGAACATTATCGTAGCTTCTGGTCTCTGTAGTTTTCGTGTATTTTCTGATACTCGGGAGGTCTAGTTTGTTTGATCCATGAACTTTGTTTGCTTATACTGTTTTGCATTGGAATTGAGAGGTTCTATTTGTTGAAGTTTATGTTTCCATTAGTGTCGGTTTTGATTTTCGTTCTCAGTTTTTAAATTTGACGATTCTTGTTTGGGATTCGCAATTTGTGATGTTGCTTTTGCTGTTTTGGTTTCAAATTGTTTTTATCAACGCATGCATGAATTTGATTTCCTGTTTCTTCTCTTGATTTATATTATGTTCATGTTTTAGTATATTGCTTTCTTTTGTTCCAAATTTGAATCGTTTGCTTTATGTTCTGCTAACCACTGTTCCTGATATTTTTTTTGGTTTGTTGAACCAGGCTAGAAGAAACAATTCCTTTGGCTGAAGTTTTGAACACATAGAAGACGATGTTTGGTTCATCTAATCGTAAGTGATTCATTCTTTACTCTGGCTTTGGTAGTGGTCTGTTTACCTTACACGGATCTTACCTGTTTTTTTATAGCTTTTCAATGGAAATCTGACCCGATTGTTTTTTTTTTTTTTCCTTTTTAGCTTTTGGACAGGCATCTAACAGCAGTCCATTTGGGACTCAAACTCAATCTGTGTTTGGTCAGACCAATAACGCGAGTAGTAATCCCTTTGCTCCGAAACCGTTTGGTACGTCTAATCCTTTTGGCGCACAGACAGGGAGTTCCATGTTTGGGGGCACTTCAACCGGTGTGTTTGGTGCTCCTCAAACTTCCTCCCCTTTTGGTGCTACATCACAAGGGTTTGGGAGCTCTACTCTTGCTTTTGGAGCATCTTCTGCTCCTGCATTTGGCAGTTCGTCTTCACCTTTTGGTGGTATGTACCGTTATGTTTTTAATTGTATGGTTTTTGTCAAACATTTCTTTGATTTATTGCTTAATCAGGCCTGGAATATACTCTATATGTCTTCTTATCATGTGATGAATACATTGTTAGGGATGATGGAATAGGAACTTACGTTCTCTCAGTTGGACTGAAGATTTTAAAATTATTCTTTTGAGAGAACATGTTATATCTGGCAAGCGTTCGATTGTCTGTTAGTTTCAGGATAACAATAGCCAATTTTTATGGTGTTCAAAATATTTGATTTTGTTTACTAAACAAGCATTCCGAGACTTATTCAACTATATTAAATTTTCAGTTGTCTTTTTGGCGGTCTGTTTTATTTGGGTTCCAGGTTTCCATTAGTCTATTAATCTATCTCTTTTTGTTCACCTTTGCTTTTGAGATCTGATAAATTTTATTTTTCTCTTACAGGCACTTCTACTTTTGGACAGAAGTCTTTTGGCTTCTCAGCGCCTCAGTCAAGTCCTTTCGGAAGCACGACACAGCAATCACAGCCTGCATTTGGAAACAACACTTTTGGCTCATCTACACCTTTTGGTGCCTCCAACACGCCTGCCTTTGGCGCATCAAACACTTTTGGCTCATCTACACCTTTTGGTGCCTCCAATACGCATGCCTTTGGTTCCTCCAGTACGCCTGCATTTGGTTCTTCCAGCACGCCTGCCTTTGGCGCATCAAATACGCCTGCATTTGGCGCATCAAACACACCTGCCTTCGGTGCATCAAGCACTCCTTCATTCGGCGCTTCGAGCTCACCTGCATTTGGCACATCACCCACTCCTGCCTTTAGAAACAATGCTTTTGGTGCATCAAGCACTCCATCTTTTAGTTTTGGCTCTTCCCCAGCTTTTGGGCAGTCTACCTCAGCATTTGGCAGTGGTTCCTTTGCTTCTACGCCATCTTCCTTTGGAGCTCAAGGTTCTTTTTTGGCTAGTCTTATTCAATTATTTAGAAGTTAAAATTTACTTACAGTAGATGTTAACGAATTATGCTTACATGTTTTGTTTTGCAGGTGCACAGGCTTTTGGGGCTCAACAAGGAGGTAGTAGGGTCATGCCTTATGTATCTACAACTGATGCAGACTCGGCCAGTGGTACCCAGCTTCCTGGGAAACTGAAATCGATATCTGCCATGCCTGTACACAAAAATAAAAACCATGAGGAGCTTAGGTGGGAGGACTACCAACGAGGAGATAAAGGTCCTATGCCTAAACAAATCCATTTTATGCATTTGTCTTAAGGTTAGATGTTAGTACCTTATTTATCAAAATATTGATTTTCTTGATGTTCAATTTTCAGGTGGACAACTTCCGGCTGCTCAATCTGGTGTAATAACTTCTCAGCCAAGTATATTCTCTCAGTCATCAGCGTTTGGTCAGCCATCTGCAAATCCAACAAACCCCTTTTCACCAGCGTTTAGTCAGCCATCTGCTAATCCAACAAACCCCTTTTCAAGCTCAGTAGCCACAAACTCTTTCGCCCAGAAGACTCCAACAGCTACCACAAGTTTTTCGTCACCCTTTGGTCCAAGCACTACTCCATCCATGTTTGCATCAACTTCATCAACTACCACATCGGTATTTGGACCATCCCCTGTTTTTTCAACAACCACAAGTCAGCCATTTGCTTCATCAAGCTCTCCTGGATTTGGCCCTTCTCCATCAATGGTTGCTTCAACTCCAGCATTTAGCACTGCTGGAAATTTTAACAACAGCCAGTCATCTTCGCTGTTTAGCTCAACCCAATTTAGACAGGGTGGTTCAGTGTTTAGTCAGCCTAGCTCTGGGTCTGCACAGACTAGTTTTTCATTTGGACCAGCTAGTTCTGCGTTTGCACAGAACACCAATCATGCGTTCCCCCAAACTAACAATTGTAGTACACCTTCCACTGGATTCGCGAACCAGTTTACAATCTCGCCATCCTTAACTACAAGCATCTCTCCTTTTGGTCAACCAACGGTAACTTTCTTTTCAACTAGTTTAGATGCATGTTCTCTTCAGAGTTGGTGTCTCTTTCACTACCTTTTGAGCTATTATAATGATTTCCATTATTGGTTTATTTTTGTAGCCTCCTGGTTCGACCTCCTACCAACCAAATCAACCACCTCAGCCATCAAGTGCTTTTAGTTTCAACAACTTTGGTCAACCCCAAACAGGTAAGTCAATCAATTAAATCACCCTGAATATTATCATCTTGAATTCTAGAAGCTAACTCCTATATGTTTTATGTCCTAAAGCTAATACAAATGGGCTTCCAGGTGGAATGGGAACTTTTAGTCAAGGCAACTCTGGGTAAGTGTATGGTGTAGTGTTTCCGAGACTTTTATTTCTCGTCTTTGATATTTTATTTACCAGTGTTTTTGTTGTACTTGTTGTTTTGTTTTGACAGGCCTGCGACGGCTAACGCTAGTGTTATGCAACCAAACCCTGTTGCAAACCCATTTGGAACGCTTCCTGCTTCACCTAAGCTTTCAATTGCTCAAGGTGGACATTCACCTTCGATTCAGTATGGAATCTCCAGCATGCCTGTAAGTTTATTCTGACTTCTTCAACACCAACACATCACCATTTTCCTCTTACCTTTTTTCCCCCCAAATTTAAAAGTAAAGAATCCACATAAGAGTTGTTTTGATATCTCTGATAAAATTCAGTTGCTGGACATTCAACTCCTCTGCATGGCACCTTGAAGTTTGCCACTGCTCATAAAGATAGTGTTAAGACAGAAACGAATGATGGCTCCATGTTATTAACCCATATACTTTATTTCTTTGCAGGTCGTTGATAAACCTGCTCCTGCTAGAGTATCACCACTCTTGACTTCTCGACACCTTTTACAGAGGCGGGTCAAGCTACCTGCAAGAAAATACCGTCCTGGCGATGATGGTCCAAAGGTATGTTTACTGGTTTTCTGAATTTTGGCTTGGTCTTGACTACTGACAGTCTTTATATTATGTTACTGAAGTTCGGTTTACCTGCTTGTTTCTTAAATGCCTTTTCAGGTTCCATTTTTCAGTATCGAACAAGAGAACTCGAATACACCTAAGGCTGATGCGTTTTTCATTCCAAGGGAAAACCCTAGAGCCTTGTTTCTACGCCCAGTTGAAAAGGAAAAATCAGCTCCGCCAAAAGATGGCCCGACACCACTGCAAGAGAATGGTAAGCTTTACTTATTTACATTTATTGCCGGTTTCCATTGTCACAATAGCATTCTTTTTTTTTTCTATACATGGCTCCAATAGTTTCTCTTAAATGAGAAGTGAGAAGTTTTCACTTACAACGTACTGTAGCTGAATTTGATCATAGCTGATCCCTTTTTTACATGTGAATTTCAGGTAAGAGTTCAAATGGTTTTACAAATGGAGCCAACCATGATGAGAGTAAGTATTTGCTTATGTAAACAAAACAATGATTCATGTTAGTGCTTTTTGAGAACCATTTTCTGACTTCGATATTAAATATCTGTAGGTAAGGACAACGGTGAAATTTGTGATGCTCTTCCGGTCAAAGCCAATCAGAAACCGAACAAGACATGTGAAAATCATGGAGGCGACAAAAACGTCTCGAACAGTTCACCAAGTGGAGCAGATATTGGGTCATTGTTGCCAAAGCTGCACCACGCCGAGTATTTCACACAGCCTCGGATCAAAGAATTAGCTGCAAAGGAAAGGGTTAACCCGGGTTATTGCAGGCGGGTAAAGGACTTCGTCGTTGGAAGACACGGTTACGGTACTATAAAGTTCCTAGGAGAGACTGATGTGCGTAAGCTGGACCTGGAAATGGTTGTTCAGTTCAGTAACAGGGAAGTGGTTGTGTACATGGACGAGAGCAAAAAACCACCGGTTGGTCAAGGATTGAACAAGCCTGCGGAAGTGACTCTGCTGAATATAAAATGCATAGACAAAAAGAGCGGGAAGCAAGTGAAGGAAGGCCCGAGGGTGGACAAGTATAAAGAAATGCTCAAGAGGAAAGCTGAGGAACAAGGAGCTAAGTTTGTGTCTTTTGATGCTGTTAATGGCGAATGGAAGTTTAGAGTTGAGCATTTCAGTTCTTACAAGCCTGGTGATGTAGATGACGAGTAGAAAGTTCTTGAAGGTCGTTGTCATCCTTTATTTTTGGGGTTTTGGAAAGGGACGAGTTTGGGATGGTGCACACTATATAGACTATTTTGTGGGTTTCTCTGTTAGTTTGTCTTTTGCTATATAATGTGAAAAAAATATTAGTCTTTTGCTTTTACCTTAACGCCGTAACCTCTTTTTATCCAGAAAAAAAGTTAGTTTGTTCTTGGATTAATAATTAGTTATGGTCTACTGATTTTCTTTGTTTTCTACTAATTTGGTCGGATTTTTTTCTTTTTCTAATTGAAATTTTTTCAAGTTGTTCTTTTAGCAATATGAATAAAAAATGTACAGTACTAGCAATCAAATTATGCCCCAATGCGATCACAGATCTTCTTGGGTGTCACTACAATGATGATGGGATCCTCCCAGATCTTCTTGGTTAGCTACACATCTACTTAACAGCTCCTTAACAGATCCACCAAGAGGAAGTCTACATATGAATAAACTTTATTAGTTGAAGCTAAATGCTTCTAAGAGTGTCCACATAGGATTAAAAAGAGCAATTCTATTGGTCCACATCAACAATCAAAAATAAGGAAAGTTTACAAATTTTTAATATTATTGCTAAATAAATAAATTAAAAAAGTTTACAAATTCTAATTATTGCTGAATAAAAAAATTCTATATAAATTTTTTATTGGTCCATCTCAACATTGAAAATTAAACTTTTTTTCAAATTCCATTATTATTTTTAAAGATAAAGAAATTATTTATAAAATTTTGTTAATAATAAAAAACTAAAATAAATAATATTAAAATAGAAAATTTTAAATTTAAATTAGATGTATACACACATATTTAGAGATTCTTACATTAGTATCCAAATTTTTGTCACATAACTATAATAATTTTTAAGTTTTTTTCTGTGTGTACAACCATTTCAAATTGAAAAAAATAGAGTTAGATTTCACAAAAAAATTAGTCATTACAACGTAAAATAACCAACTTGGCTAAACTATAAGTTTAACTATTAGCTAAATTACAAAGAATATAATGAAACGAGATATAAACAAAGTCATTACAAGCTGCTTTAATATCGAAAAAGAGACCGAAAATAAGCTTGGCCACCAAATTTGAGAAGAATGATAAATTTCAAGCAATCCGAGAAACATGTCAAGTGATTGATACTCGACACTTTTAAAAAACAAAGCACTGAAAATAGAGAAAGAGGTTCTATCATTAAGACGAAGGAGATTAAGGTATTTGAGGAAGATTTTTAAAATAACATGGCATCTGATACGGTTTTAACAACCTAACATTAAACACAAAGGTAACAATTAGCTGACCAAGAAGCATCCAAATACATTCGGTAAGCCTCAAAAACAAGGAGGCGAGACCAAAATCATGACACTTTTGAAAAACGAAGCACTGAAAATAGAGAAAGAAGTTCTGTCATTAAGCCGAAGATTGAGGTATCCGAGGAAGATTTTTGAAATAACATGGCATCTGATGGGGTTTTAACAACCTAACATTAACCAAAAAGGTAACAATTAGCTGACCAAGCAGCATGCGAATACATTCGGTAAGCCTTAAAAACAAGGAGAGACCATAATCATTTGCCTCGTGTGGGATCTTCCAGCTTTGATTTCTAAATCTATTATTAAAAAAAATTAAAAGCTATATGCCTCTAAGAATGTCCACATATGATGTAAAATTTCAATTTGATTGGTCTACATCAATATTTAAAATTAGAAAATTTTCAAAATTTAAAATTATATGGTTAACAAAATATATGTTTATAGAAAAATAAATATAGAAGTTATATGCCTCTAAAGACATCCACATAAGATTTAAAAGGTCAATTTTATTAGTGTACATCAATAACTAAAATTAAAAAAAAAATCTAAATTATAAAATTACAATGTTAATACAAAAAAATATAGAAAAAATTGTTAATTAAAACTATTCTATCATGAATAAAAATTAAAGCTATGTTATTTTCAAGGCATCCACATCAGCATTTAAAAATTAAATTTTATTCGTATATATCAAAATTGTAAATTTAAAAAAAATTCCTAATTCTATTAAGAAAGTAAATTAAAGAATAAAAAATCTCTAATAATAAAAAAAATATGATATTAAAATCTTCATTATTACTGTTTAAATTATAAATTTATTTTCTTATCTATAAAACTATATATTATTTATACAAGTTTATGTTACTTGATTTTAAGGCTTTTCATGTAGAATTTTAAATAACTAATAATTATAATTTATATTAATTTTTTCACATATGCAAAACATATTTCCACATAATCTCATGTAATATATTATGCAAAAATGATCGAAAAATTTATATTTTGTATATTCGGCTTGGAATTGCAATAGATTAATGTAGAAGTTTTTAGTTTTAGGATTTCAATTTGATATTTCATTTTTCTAAATTTATATGTATTAAATTGTACCGACTGCCTACTTAAATATAATTAAAAGAAGTAAGATTGAATATGATGAAACTGAATATAATCATACAAAAATCATTGAAATAAATAAATATGATCTATTAGTTGAAAAAACAGATATAACAAGAATAAAAATGAACATGATGAAAAAAATTGAAGCTAAATGTTTCTAAGGGTTTCGACATAAGATTTAAGAAATCAATTTAATTGGTCCACATCAATATTTAAAAATAAAAAATTTTACAAATTGTAATATTATTGCTGAAAAAAAGGAAATTAAGAATGTGTCCACATAAAATTTAAAAAATTAATTTTATTGGTCCACATCAACATTCAAAATTAAAATTTTTTTACAAATTGTAATATTATTGCTGAAAAAAGAAATTAAGAAAGTTTATTGGTCTTATAAAAAATTTATTGGTCCACCTCAAAATTGAAAATTGAAAAATTTCCAAATTCTATTATTGTTTTTAAAATTATTAAAAGTAAAAAAAAATTATATATAAAATTGATATTAATAATAAAAAACTAAAATAAACAATATTGAAATAGGAAATTTAATTGTTTTTAGCTTCTAAGGGTGTCCACATAGGATTTAAGAAATCAATTTAATTGGTCTACATCAACATTTAAAAATAAGTAAATTTTACAAATTGTAATATTAATGCTCAAAAAAGGAAATTAAGAATGTGTCCACATAGGATTTAAAAAATCAATTTTATTGGTCCACATCAACATTCAAAATTAAAGAAAATTTACAAATTGTAATATTATTGCTGAAAAATGAAATTAAGAAAGTTTATTGGTCTTATAAAAAAATTTATTGGTCCACCTCAACATTAAAAATTAAAAAATTTCCAAATTCTTTTATTGTTTTTAAAATTATTAAAAGTAAAAACAAATTATATATAAAATTGATATTAATAATAAAAAACTAAAATAAACAATATTAAAATAGGAAATTTTAAATTTAAATTAGATATATACACATATAATTAGAGACTCTTATATGAACATCCAATTTTTTTGTCACATAATTATAATTATTTTTAAGCTTTTTTTCCTGTGTGTGCAACCATGTAAAATAAACTAAGACAAAAGATAGAGTAAGGTTTCACTAAAAAATGAGTTATTACAACGTAAAAAAACTAACTTGACTAAACTATATGTTTAACTATTAGCTCAATTACAAACAATATAATGAAGAAAGATATAAACAAAGCCACTACAAGAACAAACTTGACTAAACTATATGTTTAGTTATTAGCTAAATTATAAAGAATATAATGAAAAAGATATAAACAAAGACACTATAAGCCGCTTTAATATTGAAAAAGTTATCGTAAAATCTCCAAAGCTTGGTCACCAAATTTGAGAACAATGATAAATTTCAAACAATCCGAGAAACATGTCAAGTGATTGATACTCGACACTTTTGAAAAACCAAACACTGAAAATAGAGAAAAAAATATAGCGGAGGAGACTGAGGTATCTGAGGAAATTTTTTGAAATAACATAGCATCTAAATGAGTTTTAACAACCTAACCTGAACCACAAAGTAACAATTAGCTAACCAAGCAGCATCCGAATACATTCAGTAAGCCTCAAAACAAAGAGAAGAAGCTAAAATCACTTGCCGCAACGAGCCTCGTGTGAGATTTTCCAGTTTTGATTTCTAAATCTATTACTAATAAAAGTTAAAGTTATATGCCTCTAAGAATGTCCATATATGATTTAAAAGTTCAATTCTATTGGTCCACATCAATATTTAAAATTAAGAATATTTCTAAATTTTGAAATTATATTCTTAACAAACAAATATATTTAAGGAAAAATAAAAGTTGAAGCTATATGCCTCTAAGGACATTCAAATAAGATTTAAAAGGAGAATTTTATTATTCCACATCAATAACTAAAAATTAAATTTTTTCTAAATTATAAAATTAAATTGTTAATACAAAATAATATAAAAAAATTGTTAATTAAAAATGATTTTATTATTAATGATAGTTAAAGCTATATTATTTTCAAGGCATCCACATCAGCATTTAAAAATATATATCAAAATTATGAATTAAAAAAGTTTCATAATTCTAATATTATGATTAAAAAAATATATTAAAAAATAAAGAAATCTTTATTAACAAAAAAAACCAACATGATATTTAAATCTCCATTATAACTGTTTAAATCAGAAATTTAACTTATTATCTATAAAAAATATATGCTACTTATACAAGTTTAAGTTACTTGATTTTAAAGATTTTCATGTAGAATTTTAAATAACTAATATTTATGATTTATATTCATCTAAATTTTTTCACATATACAAAATATATCATTGAAATATGTAATATATTATGCGAAAATATGTAATATTTTGTTCTCATGTAATTTATTATGCAAAAATGAGCAAATTTTTTTTTTTTTATATTCGGTTTGGAATACAATAGATTAATGTAGAAGTTCTTAGTTTTAAATTGTTCAATTTGTTATTTCATTTTTATAAATTTATATGTATTAAATTGTATTGGTTTTGTCTACTTAATTACAATTAGAAGTGAGAATGAATATGATGAAACTGAATATAATCATGCAAAATTATTAAAATAACTAAATATGATAGATTCATTGAAAAAACAGATATAACAAGAATAAAAATGAAGAAGATGAAAAATAATTTCATCTTATTAGAAGAGATGACGTATAATTATTGAAAAATTATTTAAAATTTTACACTACCAATTGATAAAATATATTTATTCACAAATTTTGTGTGATTTTTATTCATTTCATATTCAACTATTGTTTTAGTTTCAAATTTAATATTAATCTCAAAGCAAATGTTTTTTTTATTTGTTAGTTTTTTAAATTAATATATCAAAATAAAAAATTTGTATTTGTTAAACAAGAGAAGAAAAAAGATTAAATTTTAAATTTCAATTTTTATTATTTAATATTAGACAAAATATATTTATTCACAAATTTTGTGTGATTTTATTCATTTCATATTCAACTATTGTTTTAGTTTCAAATTTAATATTAATCTCAAAGCAAATGTTTTTTTATTTGTTAGTTTTTTAAATTAATATATCAAAATAAAAAATTTGTATTTGTTAAACAAGAGAAGAAAAAAGATTAAATTTTAAATTTCAATTTTTATTATTTTTAAAGAACATATATATAATTAAAATAAAAGTGAAAATGATGGAAAAAAATTATCTTCTTGATTTAAAGAAGTGAATGTATAATATTTTATTATCATGTTAATACTATGTTTAAAAAGTAATATTTGATTAATTTGTAAAAATTTTAGTTGGTTTTGGTATATTAACTTATAAGTGTTTAACCAAATAATATATTTTTGAAATATAATATACTGTATATGGATTCAAAACAAAACCGTTAAAACATCACAATTTATATGGAAATTATTAGATCAACACTATAATATTTTAATATATTATTAAAACACTAATATAAACAATTTATATCTTAATAAATATAATTAATTGCATATAATTTTTATCAATAAAATACCCACGCGTAGCGTGGACGCAAAATCTAGTTTGAAAGTTAAAAATTGCCCCAAGTTTTTTGGCGACTTTTTAGAGCTCTGGTGACGTGGCAGGCGATTATTTTGGCGACTAGGGTTTCTGGTTTCTCGAGCTATCTTCCGCCGCAAGTATGGCGGCTGTGGAGGATCCTCCGCCTGTTCTCACGGTGGGGAACTCTTCGGAAGCAGTAGATGCTGTTGCTGTAGACGTTTCTCAACATCTCCCTGTTCAGGATGGTCACTCCGGAGAAATCCCGATTCAGCCATCTTCTCCTTCGATCTCTCAATAATCATCCAAACCTCTTTACACCTCGGTTGTCCAGCAGAAATCGGGGCTCGTTAAGCATGATCTATCTATTTCGGTCATTGAGGGATCCCCAAGGATCCAAATTCCAAACGATATCATTGACGGTTCCGTTCCTCTATGGGACAAGATACTTGTCGGGAAATTTCTTTCGACGGCTCCACATGTAGCGAAAGTTCATGTGATTGTCAACAAAATTTGGCCTCTTGGCAACAAAAGTATCAAAGTAGACGTTGTTGTAGTGGATAAAACTACGATGAAGTTCAAGATTCGGGATAGTTCTATCCGAAATCGTATTTTGAGGAGAGGGATGTGGAATATTGCAAATGTTCCTATGTTTGTTTCGAAATGGTCACCGGTTGCAGAAGAAGCTCAGCCAGATCTTACTTCAATCCCTCTGTGGATTATCATAAAGAATGTTCCTCCAAAGATGTTTCATGAGAAGGGGTTGGGTTTTCTCGCTAGCGCTGTTGGAGAGCCCAAACGCCTTCATCCTGACACAGAAATCTGTAAAAGTTTTGATGAAGCAAAGGTATTCGTCGATGCGTATCTAACTCGCGAGCTGCCTAAGAAATTCCGATTTACCTCGGAAAGAGGTGTTGACGCTGTGGTGGAGTTTGAATATCCATGGCTTCCTCCAAGGTGCAGCTACTGTTCCAAATGTGGGCACAGACTTGATACATGTTTATCTCCGAAAAGAATTTTGAAGCGAAATGAGAATCTCTCAGATTTGGGTATATCGGAAGGCTCTGTCCCCATTGTTCAGGAGCCCGAGAAGCCAAGGGAGAATATGGAGATTCAAACACAATTGGAGGAGGGGGGAAAAGGTCAGCAGGTGGAGACTGACTCCCGAGCCCTCAAAACATAGTTTTGCCAGCGACGGTCTTGTCTGAAAAGCCATCGGTAACAGTTCAGGAAAGAGAAGAGGGCGAGTGGAGCTCTGTTTCTCCAACTCGGGCAGGACGATATTTGGATAAGCCTAATGTTGATAAGGAGAACATATCTATTTCTCCTTCCAGATTTGACATTCTTGCTATGGTTGACGATGATGCAATGAATGTGAATGAATCCCTTCCGGAATCACATTGTGACACTCCTGCTGCTTTGGAAGAGAAAAGTGATGCTATTGTATCGGAGAAAATTGGTGAACAAGAGGATTTATCCGATCCTGAACAACAGAATGGCTCCCAAGTAACGGCTGGGGTATCTGCAGACAGCCGCATCCCTCCACCTCGTGTGACGAGGGCTTCAAATCGTTCCTTGAACGACTCGGTTGCTCCTAGTGTTAAGGATTTAAAACCTTCCACTGCGAGTAAAAGGGCGCCAAGGAAAAAACACTAATCTATGTCGATGTTTTTTTGGAATGTTCGGGGCATAAACAAATCAACAAAGCATTCCATTATCAGAAACTGGATTCAATCTAAGGGTTTTCAGTTTGGAGGTCTTATGGAGACGAGGGTGAAGGAGAGTAAAGCAGATCGTATTGCTTCAACTATTTTTAGCGATTGGTCATTACTAACCAACTACGAATTCAATCGACTGGGTCGCATATGGGTTGTCTGGAGCCCAAATGTCAGGCTAACGGTATTCTTTAAAAGCGGACAGATGATTACTGTGTCGGTGAAACTGGAAGACAGAGCAGAGGAATTCTTCTGTTCTTTTATCTATGCGTCGAATTTTGTTGAAGAGCGCAAGGCTCTCTGGAGTGATCTGAGAGACCACCAAAACTCTCCGATTATTGGAACTAAACCGTGGATTTGTGTAGGGGATTACAATGAGATACTGAGGGCTGACGAGCATTCAAATTATGATCACTCACCTTTGATCCCTCCTGGGATGCGGGATTTTCAAGCTCTGGTGCGAGACTGTTTTTTGGAGGATTCCTCCCACGGTCCATTGTTTACCTGGTGTAACAAGCGGGATGAAGGCCTGGTTTCAAAAAAGCTAGATCGTGTTTTGGTGAACTCTAGCTGGTCTCAGATTTTTCCTTTGGCTTACAGTGTATTCGAAGCCGGAGGTTGTTCAGATCACCTTCGATGTCAAATTCAGTTTGAGGCAGAGGACAATATTCGAAAAAAAGCCTTTCAAGTTTGTGAACGCAGTAGCTAAACTGGATGATTTTAAGGCTCTACTTGAGAGTTTCTGGAATGTTTCTGAACCTATTTACTCTTCCAGTTCCTCTATGTTCAGGTTCTCAAAGAAGCTTAAAGCTCTTAAACCTTTGATCAGATCTTTGGCAAAAAACAAGCTTGGTAACTTAACGCAGAAGGCAAAGGATGCTCTTTGGATTCTCTGTGAAAACAGGAGGCAAGCATATGATCCTTCGCCACATCTGGTTGAGGATGAGAGAGCAGCGTATCAGCGATGGGATCTTGTTTCAAAATTGGAGGAGAGTTTCTTGAAACAAAGATCAAAAATCCACTGGTTGAAGGTTGGAGATGGGAATAATAAAATGTTTCACAAAAGCGTGGTGTCCAGAAAGGCAATCAACTCTATTAGAGAGATCCAACGAAGAGATGGTGTCCTGGTCTCTTCGGAAGAGGAAATTAAAGCGGAAGCAGAGGTTTTTTTTAAAGACTTCCTCCATCACATTCCGGATGATTTTGAGGGTGCATCGGTAGAAGAACTTGCTGATATCGTGTCGTATCGTTGCTCGGATCTCGATCAGGCATCTCTTTGTGCGATTGTTACAGATGCTGAGATTAAAGATGTGGTCTTTTCTATGCCCAACAACAAATCTCCAGGCCCAGATGGTTACAATGTGGAATTCTATAAAGCTGCTTGGTCTGTGGTGGGATCAAATCTTTTTTTGAGACGGGGTTTTTACCAAAAGGTGTCAACTCGACAATCCTGGCTCTAATACCAAAGAAAACATCAGCTCTATCTATGAAGGACTATCGACCTATCTCATGCTGTAAGGTGCTATACAAGGTCATCTCAAAGATCATGGCCAATAGACTGAAGGGAATCCTTCCGAATCTTATAGCTTTGAATCAATCTGCATTTGTTCAAGATCGTCTTCTAATCGAAAACCTACTGCTGGCAACAGAACTGGTTAAAGATTATCACAAGGAATCGATTTCCTCTCGTTGTGCGATACAAATTGACATTTGTAGTTGTCCCCGATATGTTTGAATATTAGTGGTCATATACAAGGCGTAGATACTATTTTTTTTTGCATAATCATTTCCGAAGTTTTTTTCATGATGAGAAACTTACATTTACCAAACTCATCCTTAAACTAGATGATATTGTTTGATGAGAAAGAAGAAAATGTATAAGGGAATTTTTGTTTTTAGTTTGATTCGTTTTTTTTTACTTTATTATGAGTTTAGAGTTATAAGAAATCTTCAACAGCTTCAAATTTAATGATATCTTTTATCAAATATTTAAGATATCAAATTTAATGATATTGCTAGTAGTTGAACCACAAGGATCCAGTTGTACCTTGCAAACACAAATAACAAAAGTTGTCTGTAGTCGACCTGGTTGTCCACACAAAGCAAACACTAACACGAAGCAAACACTAAACCCAAAGAACTCAAAATACAAACACAAATAACAAAGTTGTCCGTAGTCGACCTGGTTGTCCACATAAAAACAACACATTACAAAACTCAAATACAAATAACAAAAGTTGTCCATAGTCGACCTGGTTGTCCAAATAAAAACACAAAGCATTAAGTTGAAGGACCTTCTGCCTGGGGATGTTGAGAAGACCAGAAACAAGCCTCCAAGTCCAAGTGAGGGTCGGCCTTGTTCTTTGTCCTCCGGCGACGTTCTCCGGGCCCTGGTTTCCGCTTTTTTATTTTATTTCTACCCACTTTTTTCTTGACATCTGGTGGTAAGACGACCAACTCTTTGATGTTGTCAGGAACACTCCAGTCAGTATGATGAGGAACAGGATAAATTGTTTGATAGTATGCCAATGCCCACGTCTCAATCAAGTAATATTTTGAGCACAAGTCATATACTCCGATACTCACTGATCTATCTTCCGTGCTCATCAGTTTCTTCGCTGCGGCTATTGCATGTTCACACGGGAACTTATCTATATCAAACCGCCTGCAGCAACAGCTTTTCGCTATCAAGTTCACCACATAAGTTTTCCCGACCAGTCCATTAACGCTGTATTCAAGCTCGTAGCTGTTTAGTTCCGTCACCACTAAAAGAGACGCGATTGCACATCGACTGTGTATTTCATTCTCCACAACAGGCACCACTCTCTTATTGTAAAAAGGACCAGCAGAATCCTTCCTGTATCTATTAAACCATTAAGAAACTTTGGCTACATCGCATCGATCATATGCAATAAGGCGTACTTCCTCGCAGTCACTAAACAACTATTCATAGACTCTGCCGAGTTTCTGGTCTCTATGCTGTACTTATCCCACGAGAAGCAGCACCTAGTCCATTTTTCCAGCGTCACATTATTATCAAGATACTCAGCGGCTTTAGGAAACCTAACTCTAAAATCACCATACTCTCTAATGAACTCAGATTGAGTATAGATATGCGCGCAATCCTGGAATTTCTGTGAAACAGTCTTTATTGATATTACTAACTCTATCTCTCACATTCTGCGAAATATGCCAAATACAATATCGATGATGAGCACTCGGATACACCTCAGAGACTGCCTTAATGATGCTTGGATGTCTATCACTCATAAAGACTAACTCAGGATAATCTGGAACCACAGTTTGTAACTTTTCGAAAAACCACCGCCAGCTACGATTATTCTAGTCATCAATCACACCAAACGCAACCGGGCAATTGTGCCGATTAGGGTCTTGAGCTGTCGCAAACACTAGCATACCACCATAGGAACCCGAGAGAAAATTTGCGTCCACTACTAACACTTTCCTCATTGCTCTAAAACCTTCAACATAAGCACCTAAAGCAATGAATAAGTATTTGAACTTCTTCTCTGCAGTCAATTCTACACTTGTTACCGTTCCAAGATTTACCTTCTCCAACATGTGCAAATAAGGATACAACATACCATAGCTTTCTTCTGGACTGCCTCGTACATAATTAAATGCGAGTTTCTTCCCCCTCAGGGCAGTGGAATAGGACACATCATACCAAACATC